AGTGCCTCCAGAAAAAATTTTAGGGTCTCATGACATGAAAATACACATATGTTTATTTATATGTGCATAATAGGACTTTGGACCAGTTCATAACAGTCATTACTTCCCTAAAGGAGGGCAGTGTATATGTTACACAGTAACTGAATCTGGTGCCAGTTGGATTGTGACCCCAGGAGGGAAAAATCACTCATCTGTCAGTTTGTTGTGCTGTGATGGCTTGCATGTTGTTTGGAGGCCAGAGGCTAAACCACCAGTATTTCAAATCCCAGCAAGGTTACCCATGGCAGACAGGCTTCAGCGGAGTTTCCAGACCAATACAGACTGGGAAGCAGGAAGGCAATGCCCATTTCTCAAAGACTTGTCCTGTGAAAACCTTATGAGTAACAGTGACACACAGTCTGATATATTACTGGAAAACTTAATGAATATTCCAGAAACGTATCTGATATTGTGCTGGAGGGTGACCCCCTTGGGTCAGAAGACACTCCAAATAAGGCCATGGAATTACTGCCTCCTCAAAGTAGAAAACAAAAATAATCCCAACTCACTGCCATCGAGTCAGTTACGTCCGATAGTGAACCCCACTGGGTTTCCGAGGTGGTAAATCTTTAGAGAAGTATATTGCCCCATCTACCTTCCGCAGAGCAGCTGGTGGGCTTGAACTGCCCACCTTCTCATTAGTAGTCAAATGTCTTAGGCCCTGAGCCAATTAGAGTCTATCTTAATCCTGTGGATGGAGGCAAGCTTTCAGGACCTTCATTTGCTGGTGGAGCATGACTTAAAACGGGAACAAAGACTGCAGACATTCATTAATAATCAGAACACGAAGTGGACAAAGTATGAACGTAGAAAATAGGGAGTTGTCAAAAATGAGATGGAATGCCTGAAGATTGATATCCTAGGCATTACTGAGCTGAAATGGACTAAACTCACTGCTCTCGTCTATTCCCACTCATAGCCACCCCTGCTTGCATTTCTGAGGCAGTATCTCTACAGAAGTAGATTGCCCAGTCTTCCTTCTGAGGAGTGGCTGGTGGGTTTGAGCCACCAGCCTTCTACTTAGCAGTCAAATGCCTTAGGCACTATGCCACCACGGCTCCCAACATGGACTGGCATTGACCATTTTGAATCAGGCAATCATATTATCTACCATGCTGGGAATGACAAACTGAAGAGGAATGGCATTCCATTCTCATCACAAAGAATATTCCAAGATCTCTCCTGAAGTGCAATTTTGTCAGTAGTAGGATAATAGCCATATAATGATGTAGAAGACCACTTAATACTAGTATTCAAATTTTAACACCAATAATTAAAGCCAAAGATGAAGAAAATAAAGATTTTTACCAACTTCTGCAGTCTGAAATTGACTGAACATGCGATCAAGATATATTGATGATTATTGGTGATTGGAATGCAAATGTTGGAAACAAAGAAGAATCACCAGTAGTCCGAAAATGTGGCCTTGGTGATAGAAGTGAGGCTGGAGACCACTTGATCGAATTTTGAAAGAGCAACAACTAATTCATTGCAAATATCTTTCTTCGTCTTTTTCTTTTCTTTCTTTCTTTTCTTTTTTTTATTGTGCTCTAGGTGCAAATTTACAGAGCAGAGTTTGTTTTACATTCGATATTATGTGTACATTTAGTTTCATTGCAAATATCTTTTTTCAGCAATAAAAACGGTGACTGTCCACATGATCCTTGCCAGCTGGGACACAGGGAAATCAGATTGAGTCCATCTGCATAAAGAGGTGATGCAGAACCTCGATATCTTTAGCTGAAGCAAGGCCAGGAGCTGACTCTTGAACAGACCCTCAGTTGCTCATATGCAAGTTCAAGCTGCATTTGAAGAAGATTAAAACAAGTCCACAAGAGCCACAATAGGACCTTCAATATATGCCACCTGTATTTAGAGACCATCTGAAGAACTGATTTGATGCATTGGATACCAATGACTGAAAGACAACCTAATAATTTGTGTGATGATATTAAGAAGCAGACTAATTATGAGATGACACCAAGAACATCATCCATGAAGAAAGTAAAAGGTCACTAAAAAGAAAGGAAAGGAAGAAAAGACCAAAATGGATGTCACAAGAGACTCTGAAACTTGCCCTTGAATGATAAAGCAAATGGAAGAAATGACAAAGTAAAAGAACTGAACAGAAGATTTCAAAGAGCAACTGGAGAAAACAAAGTCAATTATAATAATGAAAGGTGCAAAGACCTGGAGTTAGAAAAACAAAAGCAAAGAACACTCTCAGTATTTTTCCATCAGAAAGATATGAAGAAAAAAATTTCAACCTTGGGTTGCAACATAGAAAGATTCTATAGGTAATACATTGAATGATACAAGAAGAATGGAAAGAAGATGGAAGAAATACACAGTCACTGTACCACAAAGAACTGGTTGATGTTCATCCATTTCAGGATGGTATTGAAGGAAGAAGTCCGAGCTGCACTGAAGGAACTAGTGAAAAACAAGGCTCTGAGAATGGTCAGAATACCCACTGAGATATTTCAACAAACGGATACCACACTGGAGGCACTAACTCACCTATGCAAAGAGATTTGGAAGACAGCTACCTGGACAACTGTCTGGAAGAGATCCATATTTGTATCCATTCTGAAAAAAGGTGATCCCACAGAATGTAGAAATTATCAAACAATATCATTAATATCGCACACAAGTAAAATCTTCCTGAAGAATTGCAAGCTGGATTCAGAAGAGGACGTTGAATGAGGGCTAGCATTGCTGATGTCAGATGCATCTTGGCTGAAAATAAAGAATACCAGAAATATGTTTACTTGTGTTTTATTGACTATGCAAAAGCATTCGATTGCTTGGATTGTAACAAGTTCTGGATATCATTGACAAGTATGGGAATCCCAGAACACTTCATTGTGTTCATAAGGAACCTGTACATAGAATAGGAGGTTGTCCTTCAAACAGAACAAGGGGCCACTGCATGGATTAAAATCAGGCAGGGAGGGCATCAGAGTTGTATCCTTTCACCATATTTACTCAATCTGTATGCTGAGAAAACAATCCAAGAAGCTGGACTATATGAAGAAGAATGTGGCATCAGGGTTGGAGAAAGACTCATTAACAAACTGCGATAGGCAGTTGACACACCTTGCTGCTTGCAAGTGAAGATGACCTGAAACACGTACTGAAGAAAATCAGAGACTGGAGTCTGCAGTGTGGATCACAACTCAACATATAGAAAATGAAAATCCAGACCAGTAAGCAGCATGATGGTCAGTGGAGAAAAGATTGAAATTGCCAAAGTTTCATGTAACTTGGATCCCCAATCAACGCCCATGGAAGGAGCAGTCAAGAAGTCAGATGTCAGAATAGCCAGGGCCAGTCTCCTTAAAGTGTTGAAGAACAAAGATAGCACTTTGAAGACTTACGTGCATGTTTTGGTTCTCTAACGGCGCTTAAATAGAAAATTTCCAAATGCATGGCTGTAACGAACAAAAGTTTATTCTGTTACAGAAAAGTAGGCTAAAAGTCTGAGTTCAAAGTCCTATCTCTAGGTGCTGGGTGAAGCCCCTTGACCTTTGACTTCAGCTCTACTTCTCGTTCCTGACCCACTGAAGCTAGAGTCTTCTCTTAACTCAGGCAGCTAATGGCTTCTTGGACTGACGAACCCAAGGTCGACAAAATGGCACAGCCCCAAGACTACCACAAAACATGGCAGGCCACTAATTCAAGTCTACAAACCCTGCCAAGATTGGCAGGAAAAATGGCACGCTGCTGAATGAAGACTCAGGTACTACATGTAGGGTCCAAGCATGCCAGAAAGCTCAGAAACATTTCTCAGAACTTCTCCTTGTATACTGAAAGTATACTACCATTGAGTGGAGTCAACTCATAGTGACCCCTCCTCGGGTTTGCAAGACTGTATCTCTGCAGAAGTGGATTGCCCAGTCTACCTTCCTAGGAGTGGCTAGTGGGTTTGAACCACCAGCCTTCTGGTTAGCAGTCAAATGCCTTAGGCTCTATGCCATCCCCAGTTGATCTGGTTGCTTTGCAACAGGTAGACTGCTCTTGCTCAGTTTGCAATTCGTGAACTGTGTCAAACCACTTGAAGACCCTTATATGTACTGATGTGTGTATGTATACATATATATTTATATGCATAAAACTAGTTGTGACTTATGTGTTAAGAACATTTTTATAAGTTTTTCATAAATATAAGAAAGATATTGAATGTTTTAAACATACTTTACTTTGACCCAAATAATAGGAAGCCTGTTTTAGAAAAATATTGACCGCAATAGTCATATTTCTTCTAGAAAAATTATCCTATGAAACATGAGATAAATCAGGGCAAAGACCCTGCACATTTGGTGTGTTTGGTAATGATGAAATGAGAATAAATTTATTTCCAACTACATGTTTCCTATCTTTGGTAGAAGTTATAAAGTAAAGACACTCTATGAAAGTGATGAAGACAGTCAGTGTGGGAAAACCTTCAGCCATGTTCCAGATCTTGCTGTGCTCCAGAGAAACCCTCCAGAGGTTAATATTTTTCAATCCTGTGTGTGGGGAACGGCCTTCATGGATGAGGCATCACCTGGGTGTCATACCAGATGGCACACCACTAGCAGTGCCTATCTGTGTATGGAATGTTGAGCAGCTTGAAGTGTTGCCTCTCCCCAAACCACTCCTGTGGAGAGCTCTTAGGGGAAAGACACCTCACAAATGTAATGTATGCAGGAAGGACTTCTGCATGTCAGCCCTTAAGAATCCTGTGACAACACCTACTGCTGAGAAACACTGTGGATATAACAAATATGGCAAAGATTTCTATAGTTTCTCGTCATTTTTGATACATGTGTGAGGTCATAAATGTGAATGTGAAGAATGCTGTAAAATCAATAGTCGTCCATCATTGATGTGTCATACAAAATTTCAAAAGGCAGATAAGTGTTATGAATGTAAGGAATGTGCGAAAGCATTTAGTCCCCCCTCAAACCTCTGTAGACATATCAGAATTTACAGTGGAGAGAGGCCCTATGAATGTAAGAAATGTGAGAAAGCCTTTAGTTATTCCTCATCCCTCTCTGTACATATGAAAACTCACAATGGAGAGAGGCCTCATAAATGTAAGGAATGTGGGAAAGCGTTTACAGAGGCCTCACATCTCACTTCAACATGGGAACTCACAGTGGAGAGAAGGTTTATGAATGTAAGGTATGTGGGAAAGCCTTTAAAAAGGCCTGACACTTCACATACGGGATCTCACAGTGGAGGGAGGCTCTATGTATGTATGGTACGTGGGAAAGCCTATAGGCAGGTGTGTTAGACTGGGTTCTCTAGAGAAACAAAAAACAACAAAGCTTATACACACACACACACACACACACACACACATATATATATATAGAGAGAGAGAGAGAGAAAATTTATCTTAGGAAAATGGCTTACAAATGTATAGAAGCCAACAAGTCCAAAGTCCTTGGAGGAAACATCGGGCTGGAGGCACCCTTAGCTTCCGCAACTGCAGGGGGCTGAGAAATTCCATGCTGGCAGGCAGTACACTGGTTGTTGACTCCAACAAAAGATGAATCCAAGGTCTCCAGGCCGAGCGGTGGGCTGCTCACTCACGGAAGGTTGTTGTCAGCACACCAGGGTCCCGATCCACAGAAGAATGTCTCTCTTCCCAGGATGTCTCTGAATATCCTGGAAGCAGGCCACACCCCTAGGGAAACTCCCCTTGGGCAGATTGGCCACTCAGAACACAGTCATCCAATCCCATCACGGGAACAACCACACAGAACTGGGGTCCAGCCAAGTTGACACACAGCTCCAACTATCACAGCAGGCCTCACACCTCACTGTACGTAAGTGAACTCACAGTGGAGAGAGGCCTTATGAATGTAAGGAATGTGGGAAAACCTTTACAGAGGCCTCACACCTCCCTACCCATATAAGAGCTCACAGGGGAGAGAGGCCTTATATGCGCAATGACTGCGGGAAATCCTCTAAGAGTTCATCAAAGCTCAGTGGACATGTGAAAACTCACGGTGGGAAGAGGCCTTAATGTTAGTGAGAAAGCTTTCCGTTCTTCCTCAGCCCTCACTAAACAGAAGAATTCCCAGTGGAGGCAGGTCTTAGGGAGATAGGGATGTGGGAAAGCCTGGAGTTTTCCCTCACATGTCACTTGTATAACAACTTAGAGTGGAGAGACTTCTCTGTGACAAAAGTGGGCTGCTTTCTCTTGACTGTTACAATTTCAAACACCAAGTTTCTGAAAATCTATACTTAAAGAGCACAGTTACTCATTGAGTATGAAAGCAGTATTAACTCAGAGACGGAGTCACAAATGCTACTTTGTGCCTTTGGGAGAAATGACTGTTTACTGTAGGACTGTGCTCATCATTCTTTGTTACTTTCTCAATTCAAGCTAAATTTTGTTTGTATAAGTCTTTGGCTAGCCCAAAGCCAGCTACAGGGAATGTTGTTGTTGTTGTTGTTTGCCGTTGAGTCGGCCCTGACTCACAGCGACCCCTCCTTGGGTTTCCGAGGCAGTATCACTACGGAAGTAGGATTGCCCAACCTTCCTTCCGAGGAGTGGCTTGTGGGTTTGAACCGCCAGCTTTCTGGTGAGCAGTCAAGTGCCTTAGGCACTATGCTACCAGAGCTCCTACAGGGAATAGCCTTGAGTAAATATGTTGTTGTATTTTTTCATGGTTTTATTGATGTGATTTTGTGGAGAGTTGAATACATAATCTTGCATTTCCATTGAGAGTATTATTTTGTCTCATTGCTCAAATTTAACACATTTCATTTCATACTTTAGTATTAAAAAATTAACAATTTGACCATCTCTCATTAGTTTCTCATTGGATGATATTTTGATATTGTGCAAATAGTCTTTTGTTTGTGCTTTGGCTCACTAATTTTCCCCCCATTGATAATTATTACCTACAAATGAGTCAATTGTGACTCATAGCAACCCCATTTGGGTTGCCAAGGCCCCAGATCTTCATAAATGTAGATTGCCCAGGCTTCCTTCCATGGAGTGGCTGAGTCACTGGTAGATTTGAACTGCTAACCTTCTGGTTAGCAGTCAAATGCCTTAGGCACTACACCACCAGAGCTTCCTTACAATTACCTTGATTTTCACCAAGGAGTGCTGGTGGTGTAGTAGTTAAGACATTTGACTACTAACCAGAAGGTTTGTTGTTAGAACCCACCAGCCTCTTTGCAGAACAAAGATGAGACAGTCTGCTTCCATAAAGAGAGACAGTCATGGAAACCTAGTGTGGGTTGCTATGAATCAGAATTGGCTTGATGGCAGTCAGGTTTGTTTGTTTGTTTTGTTTGTGTATTTGGTGGTCTTTACCAAATGGTGTTAAGAATTCCATTCATTTCTTCTATGCTTATTCATTGGAATTCTGCAGTCAATGGCTTTCCTTTCTCTCCTTTTTATTTATTCATTCAATTGTTTATAACAATAGAGTCAGTCACCAGATTGCGAACTATTTTAAGTTCTAAGTCTCTATTTGAGACTAATTTTTACCTAAGTCAAAACAGTTCATGTGTGTATCTAATGTCAGTCTAATGTCTGTCTTAGTATATATTACATAGTGTGCATTTCCTTGCATTAAAAAGAAAAACACTTCCAAGTACACTATCATCTACTCACACTGTGGTTTTTTGTTTTTCATTTTGTGATTTGGGAGAAAATTTACAGGGCAAATTCATTTTCACATAGGAGTTCATACACATTTTGTTTCATGACATTGACTGAAATACTCACAATATAAAAGCTCTCTTCCCACTTCCTCCCTGTAGTTACCTCTTCTCTTTGTCCTTCTTTCCAATGCATTCCTGCCATCTGAGCTATTTCCCTATGCAAACACTGCCCTTCTATTGTCCCATAATTGACCATTCTAAGGAGTATATCTACTTGATGTAAATGTTTTCCCCATATGCCTATTAATTAGCTGGAAGCCACAGGAATGAGTTCCTTTACAGTCCTTTCATTCTTCTTTTCTTGCATATTTTGTTCTATATTTGGTAACTACAAGCTCCTTCAAGTAGGTTCCTGTATTTTTTTGTACATATTTCCATTAAAAGTTGTACATTTTCAGACAGTGTCCAAGACCCATGTTGTCCTTTTCCTGTTTGAGTTCTGGAATCACAAATTTTCCAAGAACCTTTGCTTCCTTTCATTAGAGAATGCTATTTATGAACAAAGATACAGGGATTAGACATGCTTATTGCTTCTGGGAGTGCTGGTGGTACACTGGTTAATTGCTCTGCTATTCATGAAAACATCAGCAGTTCAAACCCAGCCAGCTGTTCCATTTCTTAGTTGGCCTTGACAAGTTGGCTGGATTTTTCCCAGGGAGGTGCTTTCCCATGGCCGCTGTGTTCTCCTGGGCCCTCTTCCCATTGTTCACCCACCAATGCCAACATCTGCATGGTGCCCTACCCTATAATCCTTCCTACTGTGCCTGCTGCATGCGTCCTGCCCATAAAGGCCCATGGGTTTCCCCAGGCCAGTCCACTCCACTGTCCTCTGGCTATATTTTCCAGGGGTTCCTGACTCACACCTGTGATGCTCTCCTGCATTCCTCTCAGTTCTATCACTGTCCACATTTTGTCCATCATGTCACTCCCTCCAGCCCTATCTCAGTATGAGCCTCAGTTTGGCTCTAGCCCTGGACTTTTTGAAAATTCTGAAGACAGGTGCTGCTGCTTGGGGTCATCTCAAAATAATCTCATTGGCCTAAACCCTGACTGTGGTGTGGACCGTTCTGTGAATTCCCACCTGCCTGCGGTCCCTGCTTCAACTCTCCCCACCGTTGGTGCTCGGCCTTTTTCTCCAATCCTTCCCTTGGTGTCCAAATGTCCGAGATCCCTGGTCCTCCCGTGTTCTGGTTATAAAGCTACAGAAAGATTCTAAAAGACATGAATGGGTGAGGAGAAGTAAGCTCATTTTCTGTTTCAGTTCTTAAAGATATTGAAGAGATGGTACACGTTTCTCTAGAGAGCAAAGAAACTTAGTTGTGAACAGGTACCACACATAAACTGGAACCACTGAACACCACAGTCACCATTTCGAGCACTCGGTGTTTCCCTCAGGAACCTTTTCTATGCTGCACCGAGACTCCAGAAACCGGAAGCGGAAGTATGTCTTCTCACCTTGGTTGCCAATCATGTGGTTCCTGCTTCCTGTCTAGTAGTAGGTAGCTTGTTCCTCAGTGTCCTGTCGGCCTTGTCCCCTGGCGGCTGTTTGTTCACGCTTCTGCTTGGTTCTGAGGTAGATTTGCCACCGTAATTAGTTGGCCTGCTTCCCGCGCAGGTGCCCCGCGGGTTCCGGTCCCTGGTCTGAGGCGCTGCCCCAGCTCTTCCCCACACTCTCGGTCTCTCAGCCTCCAGGAGACTCGGGACCTCCTGTTGCTGGGCGCTGACGCCGTCGCTTCCCGCGTGGTGCCGGCCCGGCTGCTGCAGCCATTTTCTGGGCGCTGAGATTGTACCTTGTGAACAAGCTCCTAGTTCATGCTGGAAATAATAAGTCCAGAAATACAGATGTGGATTGAATTAGAGAGTGCTATCAGAGAAAACAGTAAAAGTAAGAAGAATGCTCACGAAGGAGACATTGGTTCAAAGATCACGTGAGAGAGACAGACAGAGAACGTTCACACTGAGAACAGGAAATGAATCCGCCTAGAGGGGGAGCAGGGTGAAAAGGAATGCGGCCAGTGACGGGAGACGGCTCCTTAGAGCAAACAAGGATTTTCTGATTTATTTGTTGATCGATTTGTGATAAGGGTGAAAGACATGTCACCCCCTAACAGGCCTGTCATCATGCTGGATAAAGTGGAAGGTCAGCAAAAAACGGGGAAGGCCCTCAACGAGATGGACTGGCACAGTTGCAGTGATGGGCTCAGGTGTAGCAGGGATGGTGAGGAATGTCTTGTGGTGACTGATTGCTCTTCACAGCCAACTGGCCTCACTAGCCTTTCTCATAAGGAAAGTTAACAGGATGAAGTATATGTAGTGTGTCTTTATTCTTGATTAAAATTATAAAAACAAAAACTTTCAGCCAATTCCAGAAGCGAGAAATTCTATGTTGGATGAGTGCTCAATTTTTTCTGTCATCATCTTCAATGACACACTGGGATATGGTTTGTCTCTGATTATAATATAAACGTGAAACAACATTTTCTAAACATTCC